CTCTAAAATAGGAAGACAGCTACCCCAGGTGGTTGCTCCTAGGACTGAGATACATGCTACTGGTTTTCAATCACAGTATACATCACTTCTAAGGCTTCAAAATTCCTGAAGCCAGATTTAAGACACAAAACAAATGAGCCAAGGACAAGAGAGGGAGAGGCAAATCAAGAAGCAGACTCTTATTAACTACAGAGAACACACTGATGGTTACCAGAAGGAAGGTGGGTGGGGAGATGGGTGAAATAGGTGATGGGGATTAAGGAGGGCATTTGATGTGAGGTGCACAGGGTGATATACAGAATTGTTGAATCACTACATCATACACCTAAAACTAATGCAACACTGTATGTTAACTCTACTGGAATTTAAAGTTAAAAAAAATTACTAAAGCCAGGTCTCACCCCAGACCACATGAGTCAGGAACTCAAGGGGTGGAGCCCAGGGGTGTGCATGTTTTCTTAAAAGCACAGGCAGAGACCTCTTCTCCATGGAGGGTTTCTGCCTCACACCCCTGGCTAAGCACACAGCCATGCACAGCACATGACTCTGCATTCCCACTCTGAGCTGACATTGCTGCCTACTTCATGTGGAAGACAGAAGCAGTTGCAGACTCCCCCCAGCACAACACCCAGCATGCCTCTGGATCCGCACACTTCCAACTCCACCTTCGCTCCAGCAGTGTGAGCAAATGGCCTCCCTCTCCACCTGCACACTGACTGCCAGCCCCGCCCACTTAAAGGTCACAGACCTAGCAAACACCCCCCTTCCCTAGTGTGTTAATTTCTCCCTCCTTCTCTACCAGATCAATCCCATCAGCTTGCAAATACATACTGTCACATCATCCGTCTTCATACACACACACACACACACACACACACACACACACACACACACCATTTCTTAACCTCCTACCCATCTGTGGTTTCCACAATATTCCTTTCTTCCCCTTTAAAGCAAAACTCTTCAAAAAAGGTTGTTTACACCTGCTGCCTCCAACTCTCCTATTCTCTCTTGAAGCCACTCCAATTAAGCTTTCATCTCCTTGGAAACAGTACAGCAAGATCATCAACTACCCCAGTTCTAAATTCAGTGATAAATTCTCTGTCTCATCCCACTTGATCTAACCACAGCTCTTTAAAATAGCTCCTCATGCCCTTCTTGCTTGTTCTTTGCTTGGCTTCCCAGTGAACCCTGTCTTCTGTTTCCTCTCCTATAAAACAAGCTGCTCCTCCTCAAACTCTTCCCATGGGGTCCCCTCTTCTCCCCAGCCCCGAGCACTGCAGCTCCAAGATGCACTTGGTCCTAGGACCTCTGCTCTACAGTCATTCCTTTGGAGACACAGTCTCCCTGCTTTGAATCCCATCTATGTACAAATTACTCCCAAGTACTGTGTATCCAACATGTTTATGCTGGGCAGCATGTGTGATGTGTGTTTTTATTTCTTACTCTCTCTGCGCCCTAAAAATATACATCGCTCAAGGACAAGGACTAGGTTTTATTCCCTGCTATCTTCCCAGGGCCTGGTACACACTAGGGGCTCAAAACGCATTTGCAAGACTCAAAGCCAGTATCTGCCTCCATCAACTAATAACAGATTTCCATACCCATTTTTTTAAAGAACACTTAGATAACAGAAAAGGAGCTCCTAGAAATAAGACTCAATAGAGAGGCTGGATCATAAACACAGGTGTAGAAATCTCATGCTGAGCAGAGCAAAACGCTAAAGCTGAAAAAACAGGAAAGAAAAGAAAATTAGGCAATCTTTCCAAAACATGCAATATCTGAATACCACATGTGCCAAAAGAGAAGATAAAACCATTCAAGACAACTTGCAACTGTGACTTCAAGTTTCCCAAATGAAAGAGACCACTGAGCGCCCCACATAACAGATGGATCATTGTCAAGAGATTTCAGAACACCATGGACAAAGTAGACCCAAGAAGCATCTAGAAGGTGGGAAAACAAGTAGGTTTCACAAAAAAGACCAAGGGTTAGAAAAGCACCAGTGGAAACTAGAAAACCATGCTTTCAAAGCAAAGGGAAAAGAATTTCAAGCCTGGATCCTATATTCCCATCCAACTGTCGATTAAGTGTAAAACTAGAATACAGCCATTTTCAGACATGTAAGGTTTAAAAAAAACTTACTGCCATGTTTTCTTTCTTAGGAAGCTGAAGGAGGATGCACTCCACCACAGGAGGGTTCAAACCAAGAATGAGGCAATTACAAGATCTAAAAACCTAAGCAAGGGGCAAGAGGAATCCCCAGGAGGACAGAGAGGGACACCTCACAGGGCCAGCTGTCAGCTTATGACCTTCCCAGATTGTGTCAGAACACCCAGAGAGAGATTTAAGTGATCATCTCCTCACTGTGTTTGGATACACTGGATACTGGAAATTTACACAACTAGACAGTATTCTGAAAATAAAATGTACGAGAAACAAAGCAGACGGTAAGTACTGATTTCATGGAAAGCAAACAGGGTGCAGGAGAGGAAAAGGAACTGTGCGTACAACCACATGTCTGGGCTTGTATGCTGCTTAGCGATGCGAGCACCGAAAATAGTCACAGCTAAAATTAAGTGTACTGGGAGGATGGGGGGATACAAATGAAGATGTGGAAAGTGGGGGTACAGAGGACAGTAAAAATGCCAAACCCGTCCCCACTACAGAGAGGCAATACATAATAGCTAAACCTGGGATTTGAAGATAAGGAGGGAATTGCTCTGAGTATCAGATAAAAAAAGTTGACACGGTTGCTGCTAGGGGGCTGGTTTTAGGAAAACCACACAGAGGTAGTCGTTTCTGTAACCACCTACATAGACATCTTCGAGACAGGAATAATGTCAGAAGGCCCCACCACACTGACCGGCAGGGGAAGAGAGCTGGATAGCAACTTTGCAGAAGGGTGGCTTAATGGTCCGTGTCCAAAGGTTACGCACGCACACGTCGGAGAACAACTGCTCCCCCAGGGAAACAGCTGAATGAATTTGGGAATTCAAAGGCCATGTTCCTTACACCAAAAAATTAGAAACTGCAATGTCATGCAATATCAGCCTAAGGAAAACACACAATACTAGAATCTAACGCAACCATCAGAAACAGAGTTAAAACTTGTATTTACCAAGACAGGAAAGTGCCAATATTCTGCCAAGTCAGGGAAAGGTTCCAGAATGGCAGGTGTAAACTCGCTTATATAACATTTTTAATTTGTGGGAACTCCTTTCCTCTTTTCCTAAATGGCCCCATGGCTTTCTCGTTTTGTTCAGGTTTTCGGCGTTTCCTCTTCAGAAGGGCTATATGAGGCCACTTTTTCTAAAACAGCCAACTCTTCCCCGGATCGCCTTACCCTGGCTTCTTTCACCCAACCATTTAGCAAAGACGCCGATGAATAACACCAGATCCAGGCTCAAATCCTAGCACCAGTCACCTGTGTGACAACAGGGACTCAAGCGCTTTGGTTTTCTCACGTAGAATTTGAAAATAGTAAGAAAATGTACCCAACACTTCTATGTTGGGGCAAAAAGCTGATTTAACGTGTGTAGTGTGCCTTCTTGGTTAAGAGTCAAGATTCAATACATGTCCAATATCAAAATCATCTCTTTTGCACTCTTCTAGATAATTTGAACTTTTCTCCTAATGAAAACATTCTTTTGGTATAGAAACAATAACACTTCAGTTAAAAAACAGTTTTACTCTAAAATTACAAAAAGCAGAGAAAGGGAAGAAAAAGGACATATAATTCAACATATAATTCCACTACTTGTCAATCATATAAAATAAGAAGTCTGTATGTCCTGGTCTGAAACTGTCCCTGCCCTCCAGTTAATTGGCAATTTTTTCTCTCTGCTTACACAGACACACATCTATCCATATACATCTTGTTCTATTAAATAAAACCAGGATCACGCTGTCTTTTCCCCCCATTTTTTGATATATTGTAGACACGGTTCCACAGCTCATCCTGGTTAGCTGGTACACAATGATCTGCTTCGCACCCCTATTCACAGACTGGCAGACGATTTGCCAATTTCTGCTACCACAGCACTATGAGGACTGTGAACGTATACCTTTACATATTGACCTATTACGAGATTCCTGGGGCCGGTGAGGGGAGTGGGGTGGAGCTGAATCATGAGGGACGGAATTCTTTTTCATTGTTTTTAAAAAATACTGAATAGACACAAAAATGGTTATAAGAGTCACGCGAGGTATAAGGCACCAGTGCTACGTAATCACTGCACACCCTTCACTCGGCTGAATGTTACATTTGAAGCTTCCCACTGCCTCCCCCCACCGTTCCCAAAGCCGTGCCAGGGACATGACAAGGGGAGCCATTTGTCAATCTTTACTTTTCTCTCTTTGATGAAAGGAATAAATATCCCATTAATGCTTCATTTTTCATTTCCTTAATCCTTACAAAGTATAGTATCTTCTAGTTTTATTGGCTATTTGCTTTTCTTTTTCCATAAACTGCTTATTCATTCCCTTTGTCTAGACTTCTTTTGGCCTGATTTGGGGGTTTTATTTTCTAATTTACAGACACGCTGTGTGCTGGGGATGCTAACCCAATGCTACTACTCATGTTGCAGAGGGTAACTCGTCTTTCACCCCAGAAAGTTAAACATTTTCAGGTGGATAGCTCTGTTAATTTTCCTTCGGCTTCCCACATTTAGATGAGTATTTGCCTATATACTCTTCAGAATTTTGTTGATTCCGTTGGGATTATTAACTGACGTAGGCTGTATTTTAGGATACGGTGGGAAACAGGGTTCTACTTCAGCTTCTTCCAGGTGTTCTAATAGCATTCACTGAGTAATACCTTTCTCAGCTGATAGGAAGACTTTATAGTATGTCAAATGTTCGTGCTTATAGCGACGAGTATCTGTACATGTGCACGCATGTGCACACGTGGTATTTACAGTGTTCTGGATTCTGCTCTCTTCCACTGCCCTGTCTAGCCCATGTAAGGTGATGGAGCTCAGTCAAAAGAACTCACTCACCTGCCCTTCTTCATCAAACGCCATGACCACCACTGCAGCTCCAAACTTCTTAATCTTTCTAGCCTTCTCCAGGAAGTCACCCTCGCCCTCCTTCAGACTGATGCTGTTGACAATGCACTTCCCTTGGCAGCATTTCAACCCGGCTTCAATCACAGCAAAATTGGAGGAGTCGATGCACAAGGGTACCTGAGATCAGAAGGGCAAGAAAAATCACAGAAAAATTACAAGTCACTACAAACTCCCACACAAGGGCTCCCAAATATTCCTTATTTCTTATTTAGGGAAACAACAAACAAGTAATAGTAGTGTGGGAGAAAGAGGATTTTTTAATGTTCTTAAAGCCCATTTTATTTATTTTTTTAAATAGTTTATTGTCAAGTTGGTTTCCATATAACAGTGCTCATCCCCACAAGTAGTCACACGTTTTTATGCTAGACTCCAGTTGTTCATAATTTGGTCTCAAATAAATTGTGGCAGTAGGTCAAAACCAGAAGAGATCAAAACAAAATTACTGGAGCAATCAGAAGAGTAAATCATGAGGTCTTCAGTTACATAGGGCCAGTCATAGCTGAGGCACTCTTGCGTTCACGATTTGCGAGTCAGACAAAGCAGAACAAAGAAACCCAGGTTGATAGTCAGCAGACTTGCCTGGGACCATGACATGAAGAGAGTCTTCTGACCTCCAGCAGAGCCCCCTTCCCACTGCTCAGAGGATTAAGAGCCGTTCCCCCTCTGATTCTGACGGACTTGGAACAAGTCATTTAGCTGCTCTGCACCTTAAATTCTTAAAATATTTATTCCCAGAAGAGTGACGGGGCTTTTTACTGCAGAGTTTTAGGACACGAATGAAAGATGGGTCAATGTTAATTCACTACTTACCACAGATGTCTAACTTAAGCATTTGCTAAGGGTCTAATGAAAGGCAGACAACCAGGGTGCCTGGGTGGCTCAGGTCATGATCTCACGGCTCATGGGTTCGAGCCCTGCGTCGGGCTCTGTGCTGACAGCTAGCTCAGAGCCTAGAGCCTGTCTTCGGATTCTGTACCTCCCTCTCTCTCTGACCCTCCCCTGCTCACGCTACCTCTCTCTCTCACTCAGAAATAAATAAAACATTAAAAATTAAAAAAAAAAAAAAAAGGCAGACAGCCTCATCCCTCAAAGCACTAGGAAGTTTCTTTTAAGAAGAACTTCACAAATCACGTCTCATCACAAATTCAATGGTAGAAAAATGAAGTAAGATTTTTAAAGATTTTAGAATCTATCTAAAAAATATTTTTAAAACTTGACAAAACAATGAACCTTCATCTTCTAAAGAACAAATGTAAAAGCTCACATACAATACTTCAATTTAATCTTGTTTTATCATATTGTTTACTCTGAAAGGCCCAAATGGGTCTCATCTTCCTGTAATAAGGAAGAACTGACTGAGCACCCCTGTGTTAGAAATGGAACCAATGATTTGGTAAAAGCAGGTAACTGTATCCTTCAAAGACATGGGAAGCAGGTTCCCAGGCTGTCCAGACAGCAGAGGAAAATCAGTTCTTGTGAGCAATTCCGGACACCTTGGAAACAGCTGAGCTGAAGTCACAGCTCTCTCTGGCTTATAACAAAAGGCTGTCATTAAAGGAGAAACTGACAATCAGAAACTGTTGGGTGCTCATTGTAGGAAGCCAGAAAACCAGTGTATGAAAGGACAGACCCATGGGACAACTGACAAGATTAAATGAGAGACAGAGTGAGGGCACATGAACTCCCCTGGAGAATAAACATTTCGTACAACCTTGGCAATGTCAGGCTCAGAAGCAATAAAGTTGCAAAATCTGGTCATTGCGCTTGTACCATCCAGCATCCCATCATCCATGTTGATATCCAGCACCTGGGCTCCCATTTCCACCTGCAGTTTGGCAATGCTCAGAGCCTCCTGAGGGAAGAATGCCAGAGGAGGCAGCATTAGGAGAGGAGTACTCAGGAGAAGGCTGGCCAAAGTCATCCCTACCTTCCCAGTAGTCCTTCTAAATCAGACTAGACTGGCCAGCCACCCCTACCCTGGGCCCGCTCTCCTCCCATCAGTCATCACAGACAGATGACTGACCCTTCAACATCTCCTTCGTCACATCATTTCATCACCCGGAATCCACCAAGGCTCTGTTTTCTTGCCATAGAAAAGCTATACTCCCCAGTGTGGTGTCCCCAGCCCTCCATGACCTGGCCCAGTCTTCTTACCTAACTGGACTCCCCACTCCTCCCCTCCTGGTTCCCTTCACCCAGCCTCATCTTTTCTACTTCAGGGTCACAGGTCACATTGTCCCCATACTTGGAATGCAATTTCCTTCCCTTCTATACTGTTTAGGACCCAGCTCAAGCCCCATCTCCTCCAAAAAAGAGTCCTCAGAGAAACCATCTGAAAACCTTCTGTTACTCTTCAATGTTTGCCAAGATATGCCAAGTACATTGCAGGCTACTGGCAAGAGTTACAAGAAAGAGGAGTTAAATAAAATTCAGCAGATTTTTATACTGGAAGGCTTCTCACATCCTGTAGTACATACACTATTACACCCTGCAAATATCCAAGAACAGGATATAATACGCAGCATTCCCCATCTACGACCATTTAAGGAATATTCTGTAGGATCAGTGCTCCAGAGAACATACTTCAGGTGGGAAACACTGCTTATTCCACAACGATCTGCCGCCTCCCAACTTCTGTAACAGCTGTGATCATTACTGCACGGTTTATGACATCATCCTGTCCTCAGGATTTCATGAGTATCAGCTTATTCCTCAAAACAGAGTGTAAGTGTTTGGGACTCTAGAAAGGTCTCACACATTTCTCCTGCTCTCCTTTGAACAATGCTGGGCAAAATATACACGTTCTATAAATGCTGACTGGTAAAACAGTTTATTTTGGGTCTTCACAGTCAAGTTCATAATGTAATAAAATTAGTAAGCATAAAATCAATAGTAGCTTCTGATGTCCTAATTTTTCCGTGGCTTAAGCCAACCACATGGAAACTGTATTAAAGCAGGAATGGGACCCTCTGGCATTGCCACGAGGAGAGACCATTCGGGATGACCCACGGTTACACAGGTAAAGGATCACTATAAAATTCAAAATCAAAATCAGAGAATGTTTTCCAGTATCAGCAATGTGTTAATACCATAAAGAATACAGAGCATACGTCCCAATTCCTATTCTCAAAGGGCTCACTCCTCACTGGGCTGTAGGACATAGTCCCCCAAACAGCCAACAGCGCTGCCATACGTGGGGGGAGTCTGGCGCAAGGCTGCCTGGAAGCAGGGAAGGGCCAGGTCTGTGTAGACTGAAACAGAGGAAGCCGCCTGAGAGGGAGAGTCTTCAGCTGGCCTCTGGAGGACAGACTAGAGGAAGCAGAGAACAGCCGGCAACCTGGTAAGATGAGCGATCAAGAGTTGGAAAGCAGAGATGCCAATATCCAACCTTTCAATTCCAGAAGAGTCACAGAATGAGAGCGTGGAGGCCCAAGCTTCCCACCCAGACTCACTAAGATGAAGTCATGTGTACAATGTGAGCAAACTCAGCACTGGAGTTTCTTTTAGGTCAGTGATCTTCCCAGCAAACCGTAAAGCCTTGAGGAATCACTACCTCAAGGGAAACTAGAATCAAATGAGGAGTCAGGCCCACTAACTCCCTTCCAGCCTCCACTGCCTCCTTGTCCTGTGGACTCTAGGCAAAGACAGCAGAGTACTTGGGGTCTATCACTTACTCCACGCGAAACAAGAGGCAAGCAGTTTAACTTGCCCCAAAGGCACATGAGTAAGATGGAGATAATAATAGTATCCATGTCACAGGTCTGTGAGGATTCAGTGAGTAGTGACGTAAAGTGCTGAGCACCGTGACTGGCACATGGTAAGACCTTACTAAATGCTAAACACTATTTTTGTTTGTTTGTTTATTTTTGAGAGAGAGACAGAGAGTGCGAGTGCACAAGCGGCGGAGGGGCAGACAGAGAGGGAGACACAGAATCTGAAGCAGACTCCAGGCTTTGAGCTGTCAGCACAGAGTGCGACATAGGGCTTGAACCCACAAACTGTGAGATCATGAGCTGAGCCGAAGTCGGATGCTTAACCGACTGAGCCAACCAGGTGCCCCTAAATGCGAGACACTGTTATTACCCCCATCTGCCTGCATCTTCCTAAAATGCCCTCTGTTCTCAGTATCAAATCTGTCAAATCTAAGGGCTGAAAAGGACGCCACAGAATGACCGTAAGAATCAAAACGTAAATAGAAACATGGCCAATGGAAGAATGCCATAGAACCATGAGGGCTCATGAGGATTTTAGAGGGGAACAAACATGGGGGGGAAAAAAGGCACGGGGGGTGGGGAGGGTAGAAGCAAACCTCCTGGAATATTCGGATGACAGGATGTGAGGTTGTCTGGTGCCTGCAGTGAGAGAAATGAACGGTGGCCTAAGGAGTTTGGATTTTATCCCATCTGCAAATCCCATTACCCCGTGGGAGCTTCTGGCCTGGGGACGACTGTGCCGGAAGCACACACTGGTGGCAGCAAGCAGCAGCAGGAGCGCAGGGAAGAAGACGATGGACAGGACAGCCAGGAACCGGCTAAGAGGCTCAGCTGGAGGACTGCAAAGGATGACAAATGGGCCCTTTCGTGGTGAGAAAAACTAAGTCCACTTTGATATTGGTTTCTGGAAGACCTATTTCCTAAAGCTTGCAAACCTCAGTGACAGCTGATGATAAAATAAATAAATCATCATTAAGACCCAGACTAAATTCCTCCAATTTTAACTTCTGATTTTAATAAGAATAAAAAGAAATCTATCTAGATGCTTAGAGGAGGCTCTACTGGCCTCAGATATTGCTCACCCACAGGGTGACCGAGCCTAAAAATACTACAGCTAAACTATCACGTAAACTTTCCAAGGCAGGGGCCTAGTCCTTCTTTTCTGTTTGCTTGTCTGTGTGAGTCCAGAGCCAGAAGAATCAGGAACACCACGAGTCACCTGTTTGATGTGATCATGAGGAAGTGGGTAGGAATTGTCTTGGCTTCCTCTTTCCCTAGAAGGATTCGTGAGAAGCCAAAATGAAGAGTACTCTCAAAATTTTTCAGCTTATTTCACAATTAATAGAAAAGACCGGAACCAGGATCCCTCCCATCTCACCCCACTTCACATGCAAAGCGCAGTTAGTTTTGACAAATGTTAATAATAACGGCTTTGGTTTCCCGAAGTGTCCCCCTCCCACCCGCCCAGCCCCACTGCTAACACACGTCACCGTCCCCCGCCGCTCCGCTAATCACTCTCAAAGGCAGAGCAGTTTCCTTTACACGCTGTCTAGCCAGAAACATGGCAGATGTCTCAAGGGTCATACTAAGATGCTCACTTCATAGTTTCCTGCCATGATGAGTTTAGCAAACTTCCTGGATCCTGCCACGTTACAGCGCTCTCCAATGTTAACAAAGTTGGTGTACGGTCCAATCCTGAAGGGCTCTAGACCTTAAAAGGAGAAGCATTTTGAAAATTTTCTGAAAATTCACATGATGACATGAGACAGACAGAAAATAAATGTTTTCATGAGAAAGAAAAGACGTCATGGCGGCATAGCCCATCTGACTAGGCGTGAGGAAGGACCGCGGCCTTCTCCCCCAGAAATACTTAAATGTAACAAACGCGACATATGTTACAGCTGCGTTTACAACCAGACCTCTCAAAAGTATTTCAGGGGTTTGAGCTCAAAATTTTTCTAAGGAACTGCATCATACCAGCTCTGAGAAACAAGGAAAAATCATCATCGTATCCCTATGTACACAAGAGTGTGGGACAAAGGCCAGGAGGTCAGGATCCACAGGACTGCTCCACAGCCGGCCACTCAAATCAGCTTGAAGCAGGTGAAGCAACTTCCTGCGTCCCACCAGCTGCGTGCCCAGAGCTTCACCTTCTGTCTCCGACCCAGAGGCCAAGAACCCAGGACCAGCAAGGTCAGATGGGGTCATAGGAAGGACCCAGGATGATCCATGGGAGACCGGAGTCGCCGTGGCACACTCACCACTCGTGAGTGGACTCTAGGAAAAGCAACTCGGGCTGCCTGCACCTCTTTCCTTATTTGCCAAGGATACACAACATCTCCCCTGTTATGAGCCAGTGTAGGGGCAAATACCAGCTTTATGGTTGGAACACATTAACCGAGGCAAAAAGCAACATGCAGTGTAAAGTATCACAACACAAAAAGCCTTTTATCTGTTTCTGTTCTAATTATATTTAAAGCACAAGGAGAGGGGTCTCGCAGGATCCAGGGACAGCCAGCCTCAGGTTCAAAGCCCCGTCCAGCTATTTCAGCGCACAGACCAGGGCCACTTTTTCATGGCCTCTGATTTTACAAAAGAGACATAAAGGATGTTTACTCACACCTTTTTTTCATACATTTTGCAGCACTATTGTAAAAATGAGATTAGATAACACTGATAAGCATAAAATTAGCACCCACAATCAGAGCTGTTGTTGTTAATGAGAGGAACCAGCTTTTGCATCCTTGGCCAAAGCACAGGTTGAGAAGGAACAAAACACAGGGGAGAGGAAAACAATGAATACAACATGAGTAATTATGAAAGTCTTCCAGACTCATTAACAGACTGGGAAGACATCCCTTTCCAGTTTTGTCTTGTGGTGTCTTCCCATGGGTAGTGACCCTCCACGTGAGCCTTGGGTACCCCTGATCCAGAGGCAGACCCCCGGGTTCGCAGAGCAGGCAAATTGGGGTGCCAACATTTACATGCTGAGGGCACCTTGCATTATTGCCCTACAAGCACTGTATACAATGTGCATCTCAACTGTTATAAATGTGAGGTATTTGATATAAAAACTACATTTTTCTTACGTCCACAATCTATAAAAGAACCATTTAAAAGAGTGTGTTGGATGTCATTCTTTTAAAATCTGATTGAAGGTGATTTTTAAAGCAATTTAGAAATAGCACAGGAAATTCAAATCAGAAGAAGAGGGCTCTTTGATTCTTCCCTATAAATTCTTTTTAAAAATCCTATCTAAACGGTTCTCTTCTTGTTTCCATCTTGGCAAAGTCAGTACAGTCAATAGTGTTCAGATCTAAGGATGAAATAACTATCCTACCACACCTCTCGCTGGCAGAAGCCACTTTCTGGAGTAAGGGGTGTGCTATCACCCCCTAAATCCCACTCCCTCTAGTCTTACTCTCCGTCTTCCCAAAAATAAAAAGAAAGCAAGGAAGACTGCAGAGGGTTTGTAACTGAACTTCACACTCACTCACTTGGATAAATTCTATGAAATATGTTCTGAGAAAAGGAGATGGTACTTTTGCTGTCCCTTGGATTTTATTTCAACTTTCTTAGAGGAACATAAGGAACAAAAATATTTCAATTTAGAGAAATGTTAAATTCTAAATTATTAGGGTGCATAATTTCCCACAAGCACTATTTGCAGAATCTCTAAGAATCTGTTATCGTATGCATATACACACATACATATACATATATGTGTCTACATATATGTAAATATATATACATACACATTTTTTTCTTTTTTCTTAAAAATAGCATCTAAGAATATGTCACTTAAGTATTGTGGGGAAAATATAAAACTTAAAGTTATTTCTCTAATACTTGGCATAATGGACTACTTTACTAATGTTCCTTATTTGAACATCAAAACTCAATCTAGAAAAGGGACGCTTCCCACCTTACAGAACTAATGAGCACTCAACAGAACAGTAAGTACACCTCTTTGTAAAGTCCTGAACACACGGCAAATGCAGGATTATTGCAAGATTATTATAGAAGCAAACAATTTTCTAGGAAGAGGCTGCCGTCATTACAAACCACTCAGCCTTAGCGGTTTGGAACTTTCAATAACTAATTGCAAATCTGGCGGTTAAAATGGTTAGCCTGTGGCCGAGAGTGTGTCCTCAAAGCAGTGCACAATAGAGCCGTGACCGTGTAAGTTCTGATTCGGAGCAGAGACACCACCTGGGCAAATCACCTGTGCCTTCTGCACATTTCCCACCCCTACTCTTCACTAGAATTCATTTAAATGCAAGAAAACATGTACGCCTCTTGACCTCAGAAACAAGTTACTTGGCACACACACATCACCACCACTTAGAATAAACATACAGAATTAACCCACAAGTGGTTTCTGAAATCATAAAAATCGTGTCTTCACCGCTTACCAGAGAGTAACATATGCTCTTCAAAAACAGTGGCAGGTGGAACTCTAGGCTTACAATTTTTCACAGCTTTGGCAATTTCCCTGAGTTAAAAGACAAAACACCATATCCATTAATTCAGAAGAAAATAAATTTAATTAAGCTAATTTCCAGCTATGAAATTAAGTCTATTTAACATAATTATGCACATAATTATGTACCTAATTCCAAATGTGCAGCAGCAGTTATGCCTTTTAGTTTTCTCAGCAATGCTAAAAATGAATGTATAAACTTGAACTTTTCTCTACCTGCCCAGTCTGCTGGGCACTGACTGTACCAGCCTCTGTGCTGAGAGATATAAAACCAAGAGATGGGATGGTTTATGCAAATGCCAACGGTCAATCCCCTCCTTTCTTTCCCAAACCCATAGGTGTCCTTCCCTCCATGAACAATGTTCTTGCTTCTTAGTAGTTTGAAAGAAAAAAGGTTTCATGGTTGAGGAGGAGCACACAGCAGAGGGGGTCCATAAGTGGGGGCCTGTGTTTAGGTCTGTTTCTCTAAGCAGAGAAAGCACAGAGTAGGGAGGGTACATAGTAATAAATCACTAAAACACCAAAACAATTACTCTCGAAAATTTGCTTGGATTCTGCACATACTTTTTAACCTTATTGGCTGTACTAAATTATGTCTTTGATCAACTTGGAAAAATCAGGCCGCTCCACTAAATTTGTTATGAACTGATCACTTTGTTGCCCCTCAGATTAGTATGCGGACGCTCAAGTAAAAGCAGCACATGCACACGCGCGCGCGCACACACACACACACAGAGACAGGTAGGTAAGTAGACAGAAATAGAAATATCTATTCATTTTATTACTCAACCTATGTGTATATACACACATATGCACAAACACACAGGTTATTTTTTAATATTATTTTTGAGAGAGAGAGCAAGCGAGGCAGAGAGGGAGGGAGTCACAGAATCTGAAACAGGCTCCAGGCTCCTAGCTGTCAGTACAGACCTGACATGGGGCTCAAACTCATGGACTGTGAGATCATGACCTGAGCTGAAAGTAGACACTTAACCCACTAAGCCACCCATGCGCCCCAACTCACAAATATTTTTAAAACAACACTTTTTAGGGGCTCCTGGGTGGTTCAGTTGGTTGAGCATCTGTTTTTGGCTCCAGTCATGGTCTCATGGTTTTGGGTTTGAGCCCCAACATCAGGCTCCACGCTGACAGTGAGGAGCTTGCTTGGGATTCTCTCTCCGCCCACCTCCTGATCCTGCTCTGTAAATAAAACTTTAAAAAGTTAATAAATAAAAACAAAACAACTCTTTTTAAAAAGGAGATGATAGGGGTGCCTGGGTGGCTTAGTCGGTTAAGCATCCGACTTTCGCTTAGGTCATGATCTCGCGGTTCGTGGGTTCGAGCCCCACGTCGGGCTCTGTGCTGACTGCCAGCTCAGAGCCTGGAGCCTGTTTCAGAGTCTGTGTCTCCCTCTCTCTCTGACCCTCCCCTGCTCACGCTGTCTCTCTCTCTCCTAGAAATAAATAAAAATATTAAAAAAAAAAAAGGAGATGATAACCTTAAAAACAAAAAGAGACCTAAAGATACACTATATTCAACTATCGATAGCTTTTAGATATTACTTGAAAGATGTTTTAAAAATTATATCTTGAGGGTGTTATGCTGAGTGAAATAAGTCAGGCAGAGAAGGACAAATATCATATGTTTGCACGTATAGGAGGATTAGGAGGAACTTAACAGAGGACCAAGGGGGAGAAGAAGGGGGGAAATGGTGGGGGAAAGGGAGAGAGGCAAACCATGAGAATGCTGACAAAAACTGAGAACTGATGGGTGGAGGGTGGAGGGGGGATAGGCATGGAGGAGGGCACTTGTGGGGATGAGCACTGGGTGTTATGTGGAAACTAATTTGACAATAAACTATTTGTAAAAAAAAAAAAAAATTATATAGGCTTTTAACAGTCTATCACAGAAGCCAACAAAAACAGTGAAATGTTAGGGACATCAGAAGGGAGGACACATCACATGCACAGACTCAGCACAGTGGGATGACTGGTTCAAAACACAATCAACCATCACTCCAGAGAACAAGCAAGTTACAAATAGCCCTAAGCTATACCTTATCTCACTAAATTGCAAGCCTCTTTAAGCCACACACTGTCAAGGACTTGATCACATGCTCTCCTTCATGTCCCCGTCCCTCAGATGCTCACTCAACAACATGGGTTAAGCAACGACTTCTCTCAACCTTAAGGTGGCTGGTTGTCATGCGTCTTTTCCTTCTTTGAGAGAACTAATGGAGACATGTGTTCACCCACAGGAAATATTAGCTGTCCCTCCTTGGCTTTCTGAATACTAGTCAGGCGTTTACAGATACAGTATCGTGATATGTGGAATTTGCTTTACAATGTTCTAAGGGAAAAAAGTTGGGAAATAGAAAAAAAAAAGAGCAAATGCTGAAAATTATGGAAACTCTGTGACAGGCATGTGGGTGTTCATTTTATTACTCTTCCACTTTTTTTTCTGGAATCTGTCACCATATAAAGGCATCTTAGCTTCCTGGGGCTGCCATAATGAAATACCACAGACTGAGTAGCTTAAACGGCAGAAATTTTTTTCTCAAAGTTCGGGAAGCTAGAAGTCTGAGATGAAGGTGTTAGCAGAACTGGTGGCCTCTCTGGCTCACAGATGTCTTCTTCTCCCTGTGTGTTCACAGGGTCCCTTCCTCTGTAATCTCTTCTTACAAAGACACCAGTTATACTGGATTAGGGCCAATCCATGTGATCTCATTTCACCTGAATCATCTATTTAAAGATGCTATCTCCAAAACAGCCACTTCAAAGGAACTGGGAGGTTGGGACTTCAACATACGAATTTTGGGGGTGGGGGACACAATTCATCCCACAACAAAAGGTACAATACTTAGAAGGGATAATCACCTGATATGGTCTGGTGTTGTCCCGCAGCATCCACCCACTACATTGACCAAGCCGTCCGCAGCAAAGCTCTGCATTTAGGAAAAGACACTGTTTCACACACTCCATCCGAATTCTAAATTAACCCTCCATCACTTCAGCGGAAAATAGATCTACATTTCCTGAATAATGAATTTTTCACTAAAAAGAGAGTTAAACGTACTTAATCCAAGATACAAAGCTTTCACATGCCCTAGAAAGTTAAAAGCAGAAAACACAGCCCAGATACTTTGAAATCCTTTATGCCATTTAAAATGCAACGAAGTAATCATTTGCCTACTTGGACATAATAAAGGTCTGTTTTTTACCCACATGCTGAGTGGAACCAATGTGAGCTGGAGAGCACATCAAATAACACATAAAGTACATATCGGCTTTTACATTTAAATTAATTTAAAATTTTATGGGGTGCCTGGATGGCTCAGTCAGTTAAGTATCCAACTTTGGCTCAGGTCATGATTCTGTGGTTTGTGAGTTCAAGCCACCCGTCGGGCTCTGTGCTGACGGCTCTTGCTCTGTCTCTCTCTCTCTCTCAAAAAGAAATAAAAATAAAAATAAATTTTTTAAAAGAGAGAAAGAGCAGGGGAGGGGCGAGAGAGAGGGAGAGAGAGAATCCCAAGCAGGTCCCAATGCTGTCAGTGCAGAGCCCGACGCAGGGCTCAATTCCATGAATCGTGAGATCATGAGCTGAGCTGAAATCAAGAGTCGGACACTTAACAGACTGAGCCACCCAGGCACCCGGAGTAGTTCAGCTTTTGTTATATACACACTGGGATTGCTTTAGGAGGAAATTTTAAGTTTTCTAAATATTCTCTAGTTATTCTAAGATTCCATTTCTGTAGCTCTTAAAAACTGAAGAAAAAGAGAATCATTAACCTTTAGCTGTGTGGCCATCATGTGCGGAGTTTCATCATAGCCACCGAAAGTGTTGGGAAGACCTAGGAAAGCAGATGACAAGTGTTACTGAAAACTGCCTTAACACATAGACTAATGTTTGTGAAAGCTTTAGGTTTAAAAGTTAGAAAAGTTTATAATTAAATGATGATTACTTGCAAAATCAAATAATAATTCTTAATAATGAACATAGTAAATGAAAAGATATCACCCCTGCCTTCAAAAAAAAAAAAAAATAATTCACAGAGGCAAATAAACAGAGACTATTTCTCTTCCATCTGAAAGAAGAGTCACTACTAGATGGGACAGGATTTCTCCACCCCCAGCCCATTCCCATGACGGGAACTCAATCTTGTCAGCTAGCTGCTTGGGATGGGACCTGGGAGAGTACTACGTCCCCTTTGAATTAATGAGAGCACCTGATATTAAACTGAAAACAAAACAAAACATAACCAATCTCCTCTCAAATAAATGTTCCCAAGTAAAACTTTAGCATCCAATTAACCAATTTCCTGTTTTATTTATCAACTCCTTCATGTTATCTTACTCCTGGTGGGAAAGTTAGTTTATTAAGCATTAAAATGTATGTATTTGGGAAAAGAAAGCTGGAAAATGATTTTTAGCCCTATGGAGCTAAGCAAATGCTCAAAAACATTAACCAGGAAACCTGGTTAATCCAGAATGGGTTACCAGTTTCTAACTGGATAGTTTGAGAACTGTCTATAAATCTCTTAAAAATTTTTTTACATATGGTAAACTAGAAGAGCTAACTTTTAGAAAGGGATAAGCTAACACACAGGTTGTTAACACAGCAGAAAGGACAGGAGGTCTCCCTCTCCTCCTCCTTGCACTCCTCTCTTTGGCCACATTCACACGGCTAGCACTGTCACCAAGAGCAAGGCTCTGCTTGGCTATGTACCAGGACTCATCCCCTAAAAGTTCTGTCTAATTCTGAGGCTTCCCAGCTGAGTCAAACTGTTCCTTCAAGTCCAGAGGGAAACAGTGGTCTAGACCCACTGTATTTTCATTTAGAAGATTCCCACTGAATGTCAACTATATACCAAGACCCACAAAATAAACTCTTTTAGCCAAACTCTTTTAATCCTACTACCCCCGTCTTGTGTATTTGGATTTCTTCATGTGCAACTCCCTAGAAATACACACCTGCATTGGGATAACAGAGGACATAGGCTGTTGTACATTTTCCAATTGTTTCAATAAAAGGTCTCATTTCAGCTGCACCCAGGGCACAGTTTAATCCAATGCTGTAAAAACAAAAGGATATTAGGAGCATCATCGTGTATACAAAACATTTTCATATATAAAAAGTTACAATAAAGAAAGGACTGTATCTAAGCCAAGCAGATAACAAATCTCCACTTCAGCTTTAGCACCTTTATTCAGATCTATAGTCAAAGCCATTTCACCGACAGCCCATGAAGCGCTGAACATTTCTGTCCACGTCTCCCACATCAGGTGATGTTACAGCTAAAGGAACTGCCTCTGCATATCTCCTTGAATAAGTTCACAGCTTGGTCAGTGGTATCCTGTGAATAGTAATGCCTACAACTACCACTGCTAATAAACATCTGGTATGAAAGCAACACATAACAGAGAGAGAAAGGAAAATTATGGAGGCAGAAAGCACACTAATGACATACAGAAGCTACTCTGGCAATCCTGGTGTAGAAGACCAAGATTTATTAGTCTTTGCTCTATAACCAACTTGCAAAGTGACCTTTGATTTATAATTTGTCCTCTTAGAAATAAAGCTAATTTCTTTGTCTATAAAACCAAGTTTCATTTTGCAAATGAAACTTACTGTGGACTCAAATAACAAAGATCTAAGCAGAGCTGCTCTAACTGAAGTAATTGCACCAATCCCACTCTCCATGGGGGCTCCCAAGGCCTTCAGGAATTCAGAAATTAACTATGAAGCTACTAGCCTGGGAGATCTTTTAGTTTTTCATAGTTTGCTTTTTTTCCTTCTACTAGGATTCCTAAGTGCAGTGTGGTATACTAGATTAGATCTTAAGGCAGAACAAAGGGCATTCGTGTAAACACTTGAAATCTGAATAAAGTCTAGAGTTTAGTTAACAGTAATACTTTCTCAGTTTTGACCCAAGAACCATAGCTATGTAAGATGATAACATTCAGAAAAATTAGATGAAGGGAATATAGAAATTCTCTCTACTATCTTTGCAACTTTTCTATAAGTCTGAAATTACTGCTCCCCAAAAAAGGTAATTTAACAAACACACACAATACCCATTCATGATAAAAACTCTCAGCAAACTAGAAACAGAGGGAAACTTCCTCAACTTGATAAAGAACATCTACAAAAGAGCTATACTTAACATCATACTTAATGATGTAAAACTAGATGCTTTCCCCCGATATCAGAACAAAACAAAGAATGTCCATTTTGATCTCCTACTCAACATCATACTGGAAGACCCAGCTGATGCAAGAAGAGAAGAAAATTAAAAAGTATACAGATTGGAAAGGAAGACATAAGTCTGTCTTTGTTTACAGATGAGATTGTCAGTGTAAAAAATCCCAAAGAATCAACTAAAAAACTCCTGGAACCAATATGCAATTATATATAGCAAGATCACAAGGTTAATATAAAAAAGTCAATTGTTTACCTATATACCAGCAATTAGCAACTGAAATTAGAAATTAAAAACACAACACCATTCACATCACCACCAAAGCAAATGAAGTACCTGGGTATAATTCTAACAAAATATGTATGAGATCCACATGAGGAAAACTACAAAACTCTGAAGAAAGAAATCAAAGCAAATATAAACAGGTGGAGAAATATTCCATGTACATGAATAGGAAGACTCAGTATTGTTAAAATGCCAATTCTTCCCCATTTATAATGTGTATATATATATTCATTCACACAATCCCAATGAAAATCCTAGCCAGTTATTTTGCAAATCAACTGATTCTGAAGTTCATGTGGACAGGCAAACAACCCAGAATAACGTGTACAATACTGAAGGAGAAGAACAAAATGGAAGGAGTGACACTACCTGACTTCAAGACTCACTACCAGCTAAGGTAATTAATGGTATCAGCGAAAGAAGATACAAATATATCAATGGAATGAAATAGAGAGTCCAGAAAAAGAACCACACAAATACAGCCAACTGATCTTTGACAAAGGAGCAAAGGCAAACCAACAGAAAAAGGACTTGCTTTTCAACAAATAATGCTGGAACGAAGGTATATGCACATTGTAAAGAATTCAACAAGACACAGATCTTACACCTTTCACCAAAATTAACTTGAAATGGGTCACACTTAAATGTAAACTGCAAAACTATTAAAGGTACATTGGGGCGCCTGAGTGGCTCAGTCGGGCGGGCGTCCGACTTCGGCTCAGGTCATGATCTCATGGTTTGTGGGTTTGAGCCCCATGTCGGGCTCTGTGCTGACAGCTAGCTCAGAGCCTGGAGCCTGCTTCGGATTCTGTGTCTCCGTCTCTCTCTGACCCTCCCCTGCTCATGCTGTCTCTCTCTCTCTCTCAGAAATAAATATTAAAAAAAAAAAACTATTAAAGGTATAAAGATATATATAAAGATAACACAGCCTCAAACTAATATTACACCGTGTTAACCAACTGAAATTTAAATTAAAACTTGAAAGAAACAAAAGATAACAAAAAAGACTTAGGTGGCCATGACTGTGGCAATGTTTTCAGATACAACACTGAAAGTAGGAACAATGAAAGAAAAAACTGACAAGCTAGACTTTACTAAAATTAACAACTTCTGCACAGCAGAGGACACTATCATGGGAAGACAAGACACAGACTGGGAGAAAATCTTTGCAAAACACATATCTGATAAAGGAATGGTAATTAAAAGTTAATAAAATCTTAAAATTCAACAATAAATATATATGCACCCAAAAGAGGATCAACAAAAAATATAAAACAATTATTTACAGACCCAAAGGGGTAAATTGACAACAATACAACAACACGGGACTGTAACACACCACTTCCATCAATGAAGATCATCCAGACAGGAGATCAATAAGGAAACATCAGCTTTAATACGATACATTTGACCAATGGACTTAACAGTGATATCTACAGAACATTCCATCCAAAAGCAGAAAACAGGTTCTTCTCAAGTGTACACAAAACATTCTCTAAAAACACATGTCAGGACACAAAACAAGTCTCAAAAAATTAAAGAAGACTGAAATCAAGTCAAGCATCTTTTCCAACCACAACCAGAAATCAATTACAGGAAGAAAACTGGAAAAACGACAAGTATGTGAAGATTAAACATGTTACTAAACAACTGCTATGTCATAGAAGAAATCAAAGGAAAAATTAAAAAGCTACCTAGAGACAAATGAAAAGAGAAATATGACACACCGACATCTCTTGGATGCAGCAAAGGTGGTTCCAAGAGGAAGGTTCAGAGCAAAAGAGGTCAACCTCAAAAAACAAGAGACATCTCAAATGAATAATTTAACCTTACACCAGAAGAACTAGAATAAGAATTAAAGGAGGCCCAAAGTTAGCAAAAGGAAGGGAATAATAAAGTTCAGAGTAAAAATAAATGAAATAGAGGCTAAAAAAGTCAAACAGAAAAAGATGAAAGAAATGAAGAGCTGGTTCTTTGAAAAGATAAATGAAATTGACAAACTTTTGGCTAAACTCCCTAAGAAAAAAGGAGAGGGCTCAAATAAATAAGATCAGAAATGAAAGCAGATAACTTACAAGTGATAAGAAATAAAAAAAAAAGTCGTAAGAGACTATTATGAACAATTATATATCAATAAATTGAACCTACAAGAAATGGATAAATTCCCAGAAACTTACAATCTTCCAAGGCTGAATCACAAAGAAATAAAAAATCTCAATAAGCAAATTATTGTACTAGTTTGGAGACTGAAGCACAAAAGTCCAGGAGCAGAAGGCTTCACTGGTAAATTCTACCAAAACATCCAAAGAAGAATTAATACCTATCTCTTCCAAAAAACTGAAGAGAAGGAAGTGCTTCTAAACTAACTTTATGAGGTATTACTCTGATCCCCAAAACCAGACAAGGACACCCCCAAAAAAGAAAATGACAGGCCAATATCCCTGATGAACAAAGATGCAAAAATCCTTAATAAAATATTAACAAACCAAATTCAGCACTACATGAAAAGGATCATACACCACGATCGAGTGGGATTTATCCCAGGCATGTAAGGATGGTCCAACATCTGCAAGTCGGCCAATGTAATACACCACATGAACAGAATAAAAAATAAAAATCATATGATCTCAACAGATAAAGCATCTGACAAAATTCAACATCCACTGATGATAAAAACTCTCCTCAAAATGAGTACAAAGAGAATGTACCTCAACATTATAAAAACCATATATGGCAAACCTATAGCTAACAGCATTCTCAATGGTGAAAAGCTAAAGCTTTTCCTCTTAGATCAGGAACAAGACAGGAATGCCCACTGTCTCTGCTTTTATTCAACATAGTATCGAGGTCCTAGCCACAGCAATTAGGCAAAAAATAAAAGGCATCCAAATTAGAAAGAAGTAAAACTCACTATTTGCAGATGATAGGATGCTATACATAGAACACTCTAACGACTCCACCAAAAAACTGCTAGAACTAATAAATTGATTAAGTAAAGTTGCAGGATTCAAAATAATTATAAACAATATTTTGCATTTCTATACACTAATAAAGTATTAAGAGAAATTGAGGAAATAATTCCACATAATTACATGAAAAAATAAAATACCTAGGAATAAATTTAACCAAGAGGGTGAAAGAACTGTACATTGAAAACTATAAGACACTTATGAAAAAAACTGAAGACGACACAAAGAAATGGAAAAATATGTATGCTAATGGAATGAAAGAATATTGTTAAAATGTCCACAGTACACAAAGCAATCTACAGATTCAGTGCAATCCCTATCAAAATTCCAAAGGCATTTATCATAGAACTAACAAATAATTACAAAATTTGTATGGAACCACAAAAGACCCTCAAAAGCCAAAGCAATCTTGAGAAAGAAAAACAAACCCAGAGATATCACATGCCCAGATTTCAAGTTATACTACAAACTTACAGTAATCAAAACAGTATGGTATTAGCATAGAAACATACATATAAATCAATGGAAGAAAAGAAACCCATACATATATGGTCAATTAACTTACAACAAATGGGGCAAGAATATGCACTGGGGAAAGGACAGTCTCTTCAACAAATG